TCCCACGAACAGTAGGACGTTAAATCCCATTTCATTTCATTCCATTTCCTATTTCCCACATTTAGAAAAAAAACTAACAAAAAACACCCCAAAACCCAGCATGTGTAAAAAGAATTTATTATATTAGATCGCTACGTATTCTAGAGATTTTCATGTATACAAATTGTTTTAGTATGTCTAGATTAATATGTATATTAAATGATTAATATGTATATTAAATGATTAATATGATTAAAAGCTAATTAATGACGAATGGTTATTTCTGTTTTCAAAAACACCATTTCGACACATTAAACAAGTTCAAATGTTTAAGCAAAGTATACTATTGATTTTATTCTCCCTGGAACTTCACATGTCGATTATTGCGCCGCTTGATTTGGCGCGATCACTGTAGCATTTTACCCAGCTGCATTATATTTAGGTTTCTGTAAATAAAATTAGGTTTAGCTTTTACTTTTCTTCACAGTTGGACTACTGAAAACCGGCATAATGTAGTGTGCTATAGAAGTTTGGACCAGGCAGCGACGTTTCCGCCTACACTTCGTCAATTACTAACTTTCCGTGCCAACCCAACCCCACTCCGAACGACTAAATGCACCACTGACTACGGAAACGCCCTAGATTTGCCCCTCACCCCTCCATTCACAGTTTCTGGATCCGCTACTGGATCGTGCATATGTATTTCTATAAAGAGTGTGATTTTATTATATTACACATTATACACGAAAATACACATATCTTGTTGTAAACAAACACTATAACAGCATAAGTAACTGAATTAACATACATAGTCTAAAACAAACAAAGGCACCATAATTTCTCTAGAGGATTGTAAATCTAAAATTGTCTAAGTTTCTATAAATAGCGGTATTACTCATATAATCGTAGTTTATTATGTCACGACTGGTGTATTATTTATTGATGAACGATTATATACGTCCTACATATATCAATGATATATGATATATATAATATAGACCCATACCAGGCGGTGGGGCGGGGATAAAGACAGAACTTACCATGATGTAAACCAATATATTTAGGGTTTCACACTGCGTAAATTTAGCAAAAACTACAATATTGACAGTTCGGTACCACTTTTTGAAAGCAAATATTATTTTTTACAAATCTGATATTATCCAAAAGATGCGCACTGTTAAGGTGCACAAAATCTCGGACTCAGTTTTTTTAATTTCGATTTCGTTTTCGGGCCATTTCGATTAAAAGGTAAAAAAAGGGGTAAAAATAAGCTATTTACAACCCATCCAGCGCCTTCATATATTAAAATATTTCTTTGATACGTTCATAAACTTGTAGAAATAACCCATACGAAGAGAATGTATGTGAAAAATAGTTTGTAATATGAGCAGTTGCCGAGAAATGGGCAATTTTGCATGAGTCACTTTTTACGCTAGTTTGCCTGTAAAAGAGTCAATCATTACTGGATTTTCATAAAAGTTACACCATTTGGTGCGTAATGTCAATTTTAACTAGGTCAAACCAATTCAACATTACCAATATCACCGGAAATTACGTAATTTGGGCAAAAACCGTATTTATAGCCTTCGAAACAAATAATTTATTCAAATGAGTTGTATTTGTTATTCGTTTAAAATTTTGATATTTGATTCCAATCAACTAATAGAATGAACCCATACGATCATATAGATATCACAAATTCCTTTCTAACTTGGTCAGTTGCGGAGAAATAGACGATTTTGAACAGGTCACTTTTCAAGGTTTTTGGACCATACAACTGTCAATTATTATTCGATTTTCATAAAATTTTCACTGTTTGATACCTTTTACCAATTATGATTTCATACAAGTAATTTCAGATTTTCATTATCACCGGAAGTAACGTCAATTTGGCAAAAACTGTATTTGTAGCCTTCAAAACAGATATTTTGGTCAAATGAGTCTGATTTGTAATGTTTTTACAATTATGATTTTTGATTCCGCTCAACAAATATATTGAACACATATGATCATACAGATACCGCAAAATGGTTTCTAACTTGTACGGTTGTAGAGAAATAGACGATTTTCTACAAGTCACTTTTCAAGGTTTTGGGTCTTTGCCATTTCTGATTTTAAAAAACTAATTTATCTTTATCATTATCACTGCATATAATGTAATTTCGTCAGGATCACTAAATGTATAAAATGAATTGATTACCAAAAGATGTTGGTTCCTGTGGTAATTAGCTCATATCAGATTGTTACTTCCTGAATTATATTATTGTATGAAAAAACTTTCTTGTTTAACTTTCTTCTCTATCCATCTCTTGCAAATTGTGTTTGTTTTTCTTTCCTCCAATTTAAATGGCTGATATTTACCATATTTGTTGGAAAGATTTATAAAAACCTTCAGCACCATTTGTAGGCTATGGTCTGGTATCTTAAAGTTATTATCTGATGGTGTTGATACCCGTCAGTCATTATGTACATGTATGCCTTAGTTTAGTACGTTCTGATTTCATAAACCAATTTAACATTTTCATTATCACCGGAAGTAATGTAATTTTGACAGGATCACTGACATGTAGCAAATGAATTGATTGCTGGATTTGGTTGTTTCTGCGTCCATTTTATTTCATGTGTGCAATGCTTATGTGGAAACCTGTTTAACGGTTTCATTGGTACCGGAAGTGACATAAGTTCAAGGGTAACGTGGCACCGGTGAAACCCGTCATTACTGCTTCGCAGTTCTAGTTATTTTATTATAATTACAAACCAACGGGTATAACGCATATTAACGTTGCTGAGGGTTAGAATGGAGGAAGATGGATAGCTAGGTGGTGGTTGTTGATGCGAGCTGAGGTGGTATCAGAAACATGTACGCATTCTGAGGTCAGCAGACTTTTTTGCCCCAACTGCGCTAATGAAGAGGAGAATCGTCATGCAGTGTGCTTTTAGGGATAATTTGCTCCGACAGCCGCGCTACGGTCTACTCTTTATTTCGAATTCCAAATATCTAGGGTTATTTTATGTGCACGCATATGTATACACTGTACCTTCCCAGGCCCCCGGTTTTGCATCACTGGCAACAGGACCCCCCTTCCCCCCCCCCCCCGGGACTTGATCAGCCAACACCGTGATCGAACCCGGGGTTCCCAGGTTAGCAATCCACCGCCTCACTCACTGTATTTGCATAGATGCGCAGTATATAACACTATGACCTTTGACTAGAGGTTAATCACTGTTAACAACATTATAATGAAAGTTGTTCAGAGAGAGTGACATTTATATTTTTTGGTGTTCGATTGATTATTGTTCACCGTTTGTTTTCTCTCGAACTTTCTATTAGAGACATTTTAAAAATATTATGATACAAGATTTGATTTGTGCATCTTCGCTGTTGGTCTTGCTGAACAGTTCTACTAACTTACGGTACGGTAGTCTGGTAGAACTCGCAAACATCACAGAGTCTAATTTGTATCACACAATATACAAATTTAATTGCACAATCACACATTCAAAATGCGCAAGGAAAGCATACCCTGCCATGTGCACAATCGTCACTACTAACCCTAGTATCCCAGAATTTAAGATACCAATATGTTAAACCCAATGACAAGTGGTATTAGGTGTTTCAAAATAACACGACGTTAAGCATATTGTTGTTGTTTTAATCATCGTCATCATTTATTATTATTCTTTACTGTTATATAGGTCTTTTTCCCCAAAAAGTCCGGTGAAAAAGTTTCGAGTAAGCGTATGTTTTTTTGTTCCAGAACATCTTCCCTGTTTATCTAGACAGCCAACAAATGACGTAATGTCTTTTATAATCTATTTATAGAACTAACTACTCCTTCCTCCTTTTAAACCATGTTTAATTTACGTGTGGCATAATACCGTAAAGTAATTTAGCTAGACATCACGTTTCACCACAACAATTCTATTTGTTATTACATTGTGGTTTAAAATCGACGAATGTGATCGGACGCTATTTATCCTTCTTAACCGTACGAATAATTACTCGACAATAATGACATTAGGTTATATGGCGGAGATTCGCATCATGTTGCAATGTTCCCACAGACAGGTCTATATTCTAATATATTTATCATTGAAGAATACGCAGACTTCTTTCCAAACGAATGCCAGGGACACAAACACATTCATTAAATCAACATTTTAACGCGAAGAAATAGATGAACACTCACGTTTACCTGTGGATGTGCTACCAACTTTTGTTTGTTTATATCAATAAGAAAGCTGGATATACATGTCCCAAACACCTGGTACCACTTCCCATTATAAACTTTTATCTCGTGTGGTGATGCAAATGGCTAATTTGCGGAATTTATCCATCGGATATTCTAGTTTGAATGCTATGGTTATATAGGGTCCAGCGTGCTTGAAGTTCTTATTCAATCTTCAAAATATTATTTTCGATTTCAAAACAGATAAAGGGATGTCAGGGATAGGCTATTAGCTGGAGGCTGGGATTTTTGGTCTCAAAAGGAAAGCATTCGGAAAATTACTTTCCAACTTTTCCAGACAGCAGTGTGTTTACTGCACATTGTGATCAAACTTACATAATTAAAATGGTTAGTAACTGTATTCGTAAATATCGACTGACTTGCAGTTACCATTTCTTATACACTGAATATTTTAGAAGGTCTATCAACTCGAAACAACCATATTGTTATACAGTAACTGAATTAATTAATGCTTTAATTTCATTAATATATCTATAATGGGTAGCATGCAATATCCATGCAAAAAATCCCCTGTCACCAAATAATGGATAACGTAATGTAATAAATAATATATATGTGTTTACTGTAGACAGCTAGTTGTAATTGTAAATAAGTGCATCACTAACGCTCTTTAAGTAAGCTGGATTAAACTTCTTTTTATTATTAAATATATTTTTTTGAATAGTGTTAAGGTGCAATGACATTTTCTATGACATTTGAAAGTGGAAATATCTAGATATATCCAGACCGCGCGTGGGTGATGTAATGTTTCTAAATATATACATTAGTATTGTTTTGGTTGAAGACGATTGGCTGATAAGTAGGTCATATTGTGTTTTCACCTATCAAGGTAGGTCAGCGAGGCCTGTAATACATATATGTGCCCCGATGTATTAAATTTTTACAGTACTAATCATGGTTATTTCATGTGCATAATATTAAAACGAATATTGAAACATACTCGCAATAAGGGATTACATCTATATGACCTATTTTGTTGTACACAATCGATTTTGTTCTCGGAGAATAACAAGATTTGACCTTGAGGTGTATTGGTTATATAACATAGCAAATATGGTGTTCATGCTGATTTGACTAGAAACAACTAGATAATATACAATTATTTAGATTGAGTGACCCGTTGACTGTTTTTTTCTTTAATAGACTACATGTAGGTTTTATACAGATTGTATCATGCATCCTAAAACCAAATCATGGAAACCACATCAAAATGTCATAGACAATTCATCTTTCCAAAAATTGGGACAGGTTCATTGTCCTGGTGTAGGGTCTTAATGCAAACGACATGTATATCCGAGAGTCTGAGTGATAGACCATAAGATTTGTATTTTACAACTACTTGTTAGGTGTTAAAATAACGATATTTTAGCATGAGGTTAAACACATTATATTAAGAACATCTTTAAACTAAATGAATCTTCCAAACCTCAACAAATACAATATTTGGTAAGTTTAAGTCTTAAATTAGTTGGCTAGCAAAATAAGGTTTGTTTACATAGTGAAGAATATTGTAAGAATCGGAGCTTAATCAATCAGTATTATTAAAGATACATTAGTTAAGAGTTTTATAAAGAGTTGGTTATTCTTGCTATAATAATTCTTGAAAATTTCAGTCAGATTAATTTGTTCTGAACGGAATTGTCACTGTTGAAAGTGTGGACTAGTAATAGGCATCAATTGTGTCTGCACCGTCTATGAGAACTGGCGATCGTTTGATTGACAGACGATAACTCCACCGACATATTCTCAATAATCAAGTAACATGCTCAATGGCTATGATAGCCTCGCTTGGCAGGCCTTTTATCACCAGTTTCCGGTAGTGACATCAGCGACTAACGGTAAACGTTGATTTAATTTTAAATTTACGACTGTTTAAATCCAAACTGTATCCATGCCATCCGTGGGTCTACAGAGTTGATTTTGAGCTTGTCGTGTAAATAAAGGTCTAATTAATAATTTCTATAACATCTGAAGCCTAAATAAAGACCTGCAATAGGCAGATTTAGCTCTTGCATAATGTATGTTTAAAGGCTGATAAGTGACAACAAAATATTCATAGACTCATTGGATTGTGTGCAAAATCTGAGACATATCTCTGTCCATATAGTGCTGAGATGTGCCCGTACACTTTATGGTCTCTTAAGTTCAGCAGACACGTGTGGCCCAGTGCTTGAATGTTCTATAATGACGTAGAGTCGACCCGGGCTTAGTGACTATGGGCCTACGTCTTGTTTCCCCGTGTCAGCGGTGCGGGAAAAAAGGTCTGACAAAGAAAGGCACTCGGTCGTTGGCGTACGCATAAAAGCGTAAATTAATCCGTGGCAGGGTAAGTGTTTCGTATGAGCACCGTTTTACGTCAACATTATTCTATTTAATTGTACTAATCTGTACACGAGATGACTGGACGATAGTATATACCCTACTTCCAGCAATCTACGGTGGTAGAAAATGTCTGTGAGTTAGTCTAAGAAACTTGAATCTTGCAATTTACCTACTTAGTCCATTTCTCGTTGTTGTTAGGGGATGCGGATGTGTACCCTATTATAACTACTACAGTAATAATACGTACGTGTTGTCGTTCCATTCCCAGATGTCAAAAGAGACTACTTGACCGAGAAATAGTTTTGTCTTTAAAACCAACCAACTTGTCAAATGTGTATTTTAACAACATGGTTATACTTTCATTTATGGGGGGTTGGGTGACCGAATGGTTTCGATTCTCCACTTGTACGTGACAAGTAGTAGTTTCGCCTCTCCAACTGCGCGGGTTTTTCTCTAGACACCCGGTTTTTCGTCCAACAGCTAAAAACCCCTACGCACAAGTGAATTATTGAAATTAAATTGAACCATATATTAGTCCCGAAATGACCTAGTTTGTGTCGAGTGGAAATATATGGAACCCAGTCATTCATATAGCAAGAGATGATGGACTTTCGAGAATGCAAAATAACCAGCCATACAATACACAATGACATATAGATACGTACATAAAATACATAGATTATATGTAATTTTAAACTGTTTATTATACAAATATTTATAGTTGTGTGTGTTTATTGTAAGTATTATCCATGTCATATGATAATAATTTAGTACCTAAGATAAACAATAAACCTGCCTAAAAATAAACCTAACCAACAACGCTTCCGTTATTGCCAAGTCCAATTTTGAATTATTTAAGCAGACACGGTTTCAACGCCCTACTGTTCTGTACCGGTTGGACTATTGATAATGAAGACGGGCATACACCATACAGTCTGTCCGAGGGACATTTTCCTGGACTGTCAGGGGTTCATTTACGTGTGCTTAATCATTTTGTAGAATTGCACGGGTTGTACTGGGTCAAACTCTGACCATTTTGGGTCCCATAACTTGTGATGTTGTTAAAAGAGTTATGCAGGAGTACGTTAGTTTTATCCGGAACACCTGGTATGTTTGTCTTGTGGTAGGTTCTCGTAGCTAAATGATTGATTCGCTAAAACATTTGTCTCTTGTAGGACCACGGGCCTTCTGTCAGACGTGGAGAGCGGACGTTGTCAAACCCGGTCGCCATATCCCACGTACGACCCATGCATTTTTTCTTACTACATATCGTAGTAGCCCTGTGATCGTCTCGTATTTTCACCCGTCGTCTGTGCTCCCCCTTCACGTTGTGTATTTATTTCTTACTGTTTTCTTAAGACGTATGTCTTTCAAGGAATAACAATGCAATAGTTTGTTTTTACATTTTATATATCATAGCCGGATACATGAATACAAGCACAGTAAAGATTACAATATTAAAGTCATTCTCAAACACTAGCCAACCAGACTCGGTGGGCGAGTCTACTGATAGAAATTGCTACATCTTTTCCCTTCTGGAATCAAGCTGCTGTCTAGGAACTCAGATGGTAATCTCTCCGGAATCCAATGAAATCTGGCTTAAATGTTTGCCATGATTTCTTTTATAGGACCTACGAACAACATGCACAAAACTAGTGTATTCATGACCCTGAACTTGTGCAATTACTGATATGGTTGGTCCCCTACAACCAAATGATACAATAGGTAAATTTCCAATCACATGTATTTTGTTGACACATAGAACTAGCTATGTTTTGGCTCTATAACTCTTTTTATGTGTCAACCTGTCACTTATATTAATATTTAAACAGGTGTGCTTTTAACGATTTAAGTTGAACTTTCTGTGATTGTTTTTGGTAGCGTATTCCACATGTAATTACTTATATTGTAATGTACCTAAGAAACAAAATTAACAACTAGAACTCCAAAGAGTCTTGGCACGTCAGGTCACGCCTTTTCACGTCAACAATCAAGTTACACCATGCATTATTGAGTATAGTAAGATCCAATACCTATTAAAGTGGGAAAACCTTTCATTTTGAACTCTTAATAAGACCAGAAGTTATTCTTCAAGAGCAAACATTTTGATATTAATTGTTACTAAACATGAGGGTCATCATATATGAAAACGTCAAGGGCCATTAAACGGTCAGGTCACCAGATAGAAGTTGAAAAGTCGAAGAAAATTCAAATTGAAACCGGTAGTAAACTAAATCAAAATTCAAAAATCGACTCCCTAAGAATTGTAGCCATTTGGAGTAGGTTCAAAATAAAAAAAAAGGTTTTCGGAAATCGGAATCAAAATGGCGCTGAATATCGATTTGAAGATTTTTTGTAAAATCCAATATGGCGGCCAAACGGTTGAAAATGTTGTGGTCTCTGAAAATGAAAGATAATATCTTGGGCTAACACCACCATATGCCATTTTTGGTCTATTTTTAAAATGGAGAGAACTATTAATGTTCGGAAAAAATCAGAAGGCCTCGGTAATTTCCGAAAGTTTCCGGAAGTCATCGATGTGTTCCTTATTCCTACTAAGTATCAACTTGATACCCCAGAAAGTGACGGAGATACGCCATCTTGAATGTCGAAAAAATGACGAAGAAAACTTTCGCAAATCTTTGATTCTAAATCTAATCGAGTGAACTTCCGAATTTCAAAAAACCGTCAGACAGAGCCCGTATACGTAGTATTCGTACAAAGAATCCAAAAATGAAAACCCGATGCAGAGCCGTTGAGAAATAAGCGAGATATGGGGAATCTGGGATTATTTTTGTCCCATCCGTAAAACACTCCCTGTTTGTCAAAAATGACCCAATTAGTATTTAATAAATAGATTCACGTAATAAGTGAATTGGATTGAAAATATGTACTTCATAAAAAGGGCATTATTTCGGCCTACGACACGACAAAACGATCGGAAACCGGTTAAAACTGCTAGCTTATAGAACTGGTTGGTCGTGATCGTAATTGTACTCATGTTGTTAGTGGCAAGACCCACCAGTATTGTCGAAGTAACTTTGGCCATAGCGGGGGTCTTCAGGGGTTTGTTGATTCTCGGGGTCAACTCTTTGCATCCCCTAAAAACTCAAGTAAAGGGCCAAGTGCACAACAAAGACCTTTTAAGTATGTAAAAACAGATGAAATGTACCTTTTACTCGGACTATGTAGGACAGCGTGTACAACAAAGGTAAAACTCATGATTTCAGATGCCCCCTGAAATGGATGCCCGGGGTCGTACCGCCCTCTACACCCCTCTCACCATTATCTGACACAAATTTAAATAATGCAACACATTTCAACTAGAATTTTGCATTAAAAATACATGCGGCCTGCGCATGTTTCAGTCTTATAATGAATGATCAGTTCAAACGTATTTTGTTTATGTTTTTAATTGCAAAATTCTAGTTGAAAATAGTGTGGCGAACAAAGAAGACACAAATTGAAATAATTCAACACTATTTTTAACTAGAATTTTGCGATTAAAAAAAAAAACATGCGGTCTGCGCATGTTTAAGCCTCGTAAAGGCTGATCAATTCAAAATTATTTTGTTTATGTTTTGCAAATTTTACTAGTAAATAATGTTAAATTATTTAAATTTGTGTCAGATGTGGCGAACATAGAAGAATCGCAGTGAGAAATAGTCAGTAAGGATTCAAAAATAGCCTTAGAACAGAGGTGGGGAAAAGCGGTATTTTCATATTGCAGTTATGTAGGGACGGATAAGAACGGTCGATCAGAGACCGTCCCTAAAGGAACTAACCGTTAACTACCAAAATTAGTTACATACATCTCAACATTGGCTCTACACGGACCTAACATTTTAAATTTAATTAAAATGACACGTTTTCTCTGCCGAAATCAAAGAGATCTATAAAACATTGCTCTGATATAATATTTTTTACATTTCAGTGTGTCGATTGTTGTGTTGCATTTGGTTAGTTGCTGGCATCAAGCGTGTTCCATTTAATGGGTGTTTTGTAAAAAGAGAAACGAATATGAAATATCTAACTCATGGGAGAGAACAAAAACCTTAAAGCTACATGTCAACAACAATGAGATGTCTTCTTTTCCATGTTCATATAATACCACCATGTAACAGAAAGTGTGAACCACGATTTTAAAGTTTAGTTGGTAATTACAAATTACCAATGAATCATACATACACACAAATAATGGTGCCGACACCAGAAAGACCTCCAGATAACCTCCAGACATATCTCTTACTGTTTGATAAAGGATCTGGAAGTCCGAGAGTGAACTATTTTATGATTGATCCTTCTGCACCCAGTTTAATTTTACCTAAAATGAACACGATAATATTTAAACGTTTGGGAAATATAAGTGGATATAAAACTGCTGTGGTGAACAATTGTTTGTATGTTATTGGTGGAAAGGACTGGACAACCGGTGACTATTTGACCAGTGTCCGAAAATTCAACCCTATGACCAACAAGTGGGCAGACCAGTCTCCAATAAAGACTCCCAGATGTCGCTTCACAGCCACCGTCTTGGATGGATTTATCTATATTGTAGGTAATAAAATCGATATTATAAAAATGATATATGTTTTTTATTCAATAATAAAATCACAATCTTCAGGCACCTAATATTACCGTTGCACGGACATGACAGTTACTTTAACCCTGTAAAGCCCACTAACTAATGCACTTAATTTTCATTTTCCTATTAAAGTCCCAGATTTCACAGGATAACCATTGATTCAATTCGAAAATGTGAACAAATAGCCCAACCAACATGTCTGAAAGTTTCAGCTTCAAATGTTGAGGTGTGTGGAAATGACCACTGGATTTCCTTAGCAGTGAGCAGAGTGACGTGAATCGGTTTAGGGATTTAACTGTTCATTTACATGTATATGAGTAACGACCACTTACAACTTTTACTTCAGCATGCGTTTCGTCTATAGCTGGACCGATGCCTTTACATTTTATTGCCCAATAGAATCTATGGCGGGCAGCAGACGCTATTAATTCCTGCGTGTAGAGCAAAGATATTAATAATCTTTCTCTCCCTTTTCCACCTTTCACTTGGTCATTTGGTGTAGAATCGAAGAAAAGTGGTGGAATTTACATGTTCTGCCATTTTTGGGTGAATGTTCATGATTTTGAGGCGGAAGGATAACAGAGTTAAGTGGTTGGTTACGTTGAAATGTATGATGGACAGTTGCGTATTTAGTAGTATGCTACTTCCAGTTTGTGTATCTCTAGATTTCCATGTTAAACCTCATACATGCTTTTGAGCAAGAGGTTGCATCACAACGTTCAACCAAACGAAGATATGGGTAAAAGTTAGACCCGACAGAAGAGACGCGAATTAACATTAGGGGAATAATTGGTGTTCTGTGACCTGTTAATATACTTAATTACGTTGCTTCCGGTAATTGAGGGATGGGTGTTTATTAGGTGTGTGTGTGGGGGGGGGGGGGCACTATAATTAGCCCCATCGTATATCCAGTGCTCTTGACGTCGTATGATCAAATGAATCAGCGGTTGTAGTCCCCCCCCCCCCTCCCCAACAGACAAATATAAGTTCTAATAACAGTTGACCCTGTCTCGACAGATGTTCATAGTCAAGTATAAAAATCTTGACGTCGTATGATCAAATGAATCAGTGGTTGTAGTCCCCCCACCCCCAACAGACAAATATAAGTTCTAATAACAGTTGACCCTGTCTCGACAGATGTTCATAGTCAAGTATAAAAATCTAAAGTGATTACGTAATAAGCCCATCGTGAAAGGTAGGAATAATAGTGCAATAGTGTGTATTGGCATATAAATAACCAAACATATAATATCGTCATTAACGTCTCTAAATCTATCAAATAATAAGGCTCTAAAACATTCTGAATCAAGGTAATATTTATTTAGAGTGTCAGAAGTGACATCAAATTTAGAAAATTACTGTTATTTTGCCTATACCGTTGAATTTCGTCTAATGGTTTGGATTGTTCGTACTTGGTTTTATTTTATTTGCAGTTTGTTAATTCATTATCTGTATCGTAGAAGTGACATCTGTTGGTTTGATATAATTTGTATCTCCGAAGATAGACTACTAGTCGTATTTTTACAAGGTTCTTAAAACATTCGTTGACTTGTCTGACTCGCCATCTTCTGAATGGGAATTATATCATGCTGTCTATATTGTTTCTTGCTAATCCATTCCCGTCAATCATGTCCATCTTCCTGAATGATATTGGTCTTTTTTAATATATTTTAATGGATATTCAAATGAATGTATGTAATGAAATACAGCACGAAGGGACATATTTTATTGATTTTGTAATGAGAATGAAATTTACAAGGCTGTTGTGTTTATAGATGTAGTGCTATAGACTATTAATAGTTTTAATAGATTATACATTTTATACACTGAACTAACATCTAATCTAATTTGACATTAGTTAAAATATGACATTGTTTACGCGCTCGATCAGACTGGGCGTAGTATAGGTTTTTATCGGTGATAGTAATACATGCTCTATATAGGATTGCTGTCTCTCTTGGGGATAATTTTGTTTTCAATAATTTCACATCCATCTGGATCTCAAGCAAAAGATGTTTACCTTAATTCTAAGACGATTCTACTTTTTTTTAAGATTTGACTTATAACGATCAGACCTGGAGAAAATGTCTTAGGATTGAATTTTTGCGGCAGATGAATAGAGTGTTTGAATATGGCGATTTTTTTATGAGCAATCTTTCTTTCTTTTACAAAAGAGCTTTATGAAATCTAAATTAGCCACTTCAGTAGAATTTATTTAGAGATTATTTTTGTATTCATTGATTTCTCTTCAAACATACACATTATTCACGTCACGACAAATATGGATTACTCGTCAAAACTGTATGAAAAAAAAATGATTGGGCAGGAATAATTGGATGAAGAATCAAAAAATGTAAAATCAATATTTAGGCCACTACATGTGTGTATTTTAGAGTTAATCAAGTATAACGTTAGTTATGACAGTATGGCATATGTTACATGTATATGACAAGATGGTGTATGACATGGCAGTATGGCAACTCTCCTCATTTCTCTTTACTTCACATCTAGCTGTCAGATAATACTTTTTTTATTACGTTATATGCTTGATGACTAACCATTTTTCACCTTTATGACTTATCTCAAACTAACTTTATCCAATACAAAATATTTGTTATGGCATAGCCTTTATTCAAAGACAAAATTATATTTTATTTATTTATGTCAGTGTGTATTATTCAGTTTGATGAATTAAAGTAGCAGCATGTCTATATTATTTCAAAACTAAAACTTGATATAAATTAGTAACTTTCTGACCCAAAACGGAGCGCCAGTTTAAAATTTTTGTAGTGAAGTCAGTTGAAAGATCTTTGAAACTCGACATAGGTTTTCAAGAAATTTCATTAAATAATTTCTTTTTAAATCAGTCAGACATCTTGTAATCTGTTCTGATTATTTATATAAAAAGCGCGAAAAGATGAAATATCCAGCTGCTATGACATAAAAAAATCCCCTCGCTTCACTCGCTTCGCCAATTTGTAGCGGAATACATTTCGTTTGAGATTAGCCTTAGGGATTTGGTCAGTTATTAAATAGTTCAATAAGATACTGCCTTATTATTTACGCCTCATTTCAACTATATGAATGAATAAAGCGTCTTAATCAATTTTATGTATTTATTATTACACCAATAGCGTAAAAACATTGACGTGTTAAATTATGTATAATGATTGAATCAATAGGAATTACTTAACGTTCTAGAGTTAAAATAGCGTATTAATCTTTATAGATTTATTACATCCGATCAGATTTACCCTTGATAAAACAATTGGAAATGCAATTTCCTTAAAACTAGGAATCAATATCATCAATGCAGTGGGAGTGGGAGGAAACCGGAGTACCCGGAGAAAACCCACGAGGTTGAACAGGCAACCCTACTCCTGCCACGTACAACCGGGGAATCTAAACCACGCCAGTTGACTCAATGACATACCTTATGATGCAACGCGCACGCTCTAACCACCACCCCCCCCCCCCCCCTCATCACTGCGTCTATGGTAATGAATTGTAACCACTGAGTCTATCATTATGAATTGTAACCACTAAATATATCATTATGAATTGTAACCACTGAATCTATCATTATGAATTGTAACCACTGAATCTATCATTATGAATTGTAACCACTGAGTATGATTATGAATTGTAACCACCTAGTCTGTGATCATGTATTGTAACCACCGAGCCTATGGCCATGAATTGTAACAACTGTGTCTATGATTATGAATTACCTCCATGTCTACCCTGACTCTATGATCATGGATTGTAACCACCGAGTCTGTGATTATGAGTTGTAACCATTGAGTCTATGATTATGAGTTGTAACCATTGAGTCTATGATAATGAATTGTAACCACAGAATCTATGATTTTGAAGTTTTAATTACTTGGGTATAGGATCATGAATTGTAACCACTGAGTCAATGGTCATGAATTGCAACCACTGGGTCTACGGTCATTAATTGTAACCACTGAGTCTATGATCACGAATTGCAACCACTGAGTCTATGGTCATGAATTATAACCATTGAGTCTATGGTCATGAATTGTAACCACTGAGTTTATGGCCATGAATTGTAACCAATAGTTAATCAAATAATATTGTTTAGAAATCGCAATCCCGGAAGTGAGAGGCTTTATTTATCTTTTAGTCTAATGCTTTGGACAAGTATAGCTGATATAGACTCTGTTATCAACATTAAGTCACTTTAGGTGAAGGTAACATTGAAGCAAAAGACAAGGAAACCAAATATGTTCACATTAACAGCAATATATACACTGTAAAAAATATGTTGGGTTTTTTTCATCCCCATTTTTTTGTTATGAAGGACAATATTCGTATTATCACAGACATATCTGTGATTTGAGATAAATAACTCGTATTTTACTATACAATCTGTTGTTTTAGTTGCATTTTTGTCTATGTACAGAAACGTCGATATTTTTGTGTATTAACTGATAGAAACTGTTTATTAACAATATAAATTGTATTAGTAATCAAAAGACCTGTAATATTCCAGAATAACTTGTGTATTAACGGCACTGTTCTGTTAATTCACAACGTTATACTGTTGGCTTCAGTTAACGCATACGCGTCGCAGATTTTACTTATGGCGGTGAATGTTCGAATGGGCGCTGTTGATGCAGAAAAAAGAACAGATGAAAATCAACAATAAGATGTGAAGGTAAGTCTCCCTAATAATATGTAAGTGTGAAGGTAAATCTACTGAGTATGTTATTGGATTTAACGACACAGCCTCAGTACCGTCTGTTTAGTTTTCTGCTTTGTTATGTTTGGAATCTATGTTCAATACAATAGGGTCCATGTAAATGTATGTTGCATTGTAGAAATATTTGAAATTTACCATGTAAACAATATTAATGTGTGAATATGATGCTGGCTTATTAACCATTAGCCAAGAAAGCTACCCATGCTTGTTTTGCAACTTGTCCTTCCTTTCAGTGGTGCAGGTTGGAATTAGTTCAGTTTGAACTAACAACCGGGGCCCTGTTTGCTATTGACAGTACATGTTAAAGAACCGTAAGTCCTACACAGTTATCTCCGCTGCTTTGGCAAGATATCGCTGATAGGATACTCCGTGACATATGCAGGAAAGTTAACACTTTTTCATGTTTCTGTATGTGTTTCATTATTTTGTTTCAGGTTTGTATTGAAGATAAAACAAATTGCAAGAAGAAGATAAGTAGTAAAACTAGCCTTCAGAAATCACAAAATTTAAAGCCATGTAAAATTTCTTGCTCTTAATTTCTGTTCATTTTTAATATTTTTGTAAATTCACGACTGAAAATTTACATTTACAGAAATAAATTATTTTTCACAGATGATTTTGTTTTATATTTAACCAAAATAATTGTATTAAAAAACAGGAAATCTTCTGGCAGCAGATTTATCAGATTTTTTCCTGTAATTCTACAGAAAAATGCTACTGTGACTTAACAGAAATTGTCTTTTAAAAAAAACAGAATAAAATTTACAGAAAAAGAATCTGGTAAATCTGCTGCAATAATTTTTTCTATTTTTTTTTTTTTTTTTACATAATTACTTTTTACAGTGTACGTGAATTCACAAAATGTGTGGCCCCATACCTGGATTTTACACTGAGAATTTAGACAAAGGACGGATCAAGATTGCTTTTTTAGCTTTTCGTAATAAAATATTCCTGTTAACTCTTGCTATGACCCATGAAAATAATGTTCATGAACTAATCCATCTATGCCAGTTCAGGATTTCAACTTTCACACAGAATCAATACAAAACCTATGCTTATTAAAATTATACCAAGAAAAAACTCATTAGATATATTGTATTCACTTGTATTCTTAGGGGGAGAAAGTTTAAGAGGAAGAGTCACAGAATCTGTAGAAAGATATGATCCCAAGAAAAATATTTGGATGGACCAAGCTCCAATACCACGACCACGAGCTGATCATGCCACATGTGCTTTAAATGGCCATCTGTACGTATCCGGTGGTATCAGCAACTTACGTCACAACTGTTCCAATGTATTTTGGTAAGATATTTGATTTGCTTTACATTGTTATTTGTTTCCCTTATACACCCGAACATTGGTTTTTAAATATCCCTTTCAAAATGACCCTATAATACTATACCATTAGTTCCAAAATGATTTGGTTTGTGTTGAATGGACGTCACCCCCCCCCCCCCCCCGGACAATGGTGTGGTTTCCTTTATTACAAGGATGCTATCACTTCACCCTTTCCTGTAGTGCTTATTGATGGTTATTGTGCACCATGGGAAAGTTTCAGTCTTTTTCAACAAACCGGTTGACCGGTTTTAACATAAACGTTAAACAGGTAGACTTCTAATTTTACAATAGGTTTCATCCTCTGACAGTTTTAATGCTCCACACCAAATCACTTAAAAACTGTAGCTTTTATCACCTTCAAAATGATTTCGGAAAGAGGGCACGGAAGATCGTCTAATCGATAGAGTTCGCCCTTTCATGACCACAATGTTCACACCAATCTAAACAAAATACATGGCTTTCAAAAAGCTTATGGAAAACAAAGGGGGATACTCCGGTAAAGAAGGTAGTGGAATGATGAAAATCGACGGGCTTCGGCCTGGGAGTTACAAAATATACTATGACTTTAAAGGCGAATCTTTTAGCGTTAAGTACCTAAAAAACATATTATTTGGCTTAGATTGGTTAAATTGCCTAATAGCCATGTCCAGTAAAAGGTTGCACGAACATCTCTGTTGAAGACTGGGTTATCTGCTATTAATACAATATGTTTTGACTGTTCGGTTGCCTCTTTAATTTGTATTCTCTATGGCAGTAATGATTAAGCTAAAATGATATCATTAAACATTAGTCAAGAAAATAAAAAACAGATTCCGGTACCACCCTTATTTTATACATACACACACTGTAGTGTAAATGATGATCAATGTCTGATACATCAGCTGTGAAATGTACCTAATAACCCTGGCTAATAGTCATTTTCAGTAATGAAAATATATATATATTCTTAGGTAAAACGATAATAGTGCCCCAGGATGCTATTACTTTCAATCTGTGATTCGAGTTTAGAAAAATAAGCGTGGACTTGTAAATTACGTCCTTTCCTTCAGAGGATCAGTTCCACATTGCGCCCCTTTGTTGTAATGTTATCATTTTTATAAATAGATTATTTAAATTTATTTTTTTATTTTTTTTTTTGTTAAGGGGGCATTATGTAAGATTTAGATAATATTTCAAAAATAGATAATGCAATATGAATATAATGAAAATTTTATTCAAATAACGTTATTTTGAGCGAAGTTATCAATGGTTGTAGTTTTGACGAGATGTGTGCATTGACCGTAACCACCGCACTGGTTATTCGAGTCTTAGCTTCGCTTCTCCATTTTCAAATTAAATCATTAAATGACCGAACCGTTCTAATATTCGAGAGCTGATTGTGGTCGTGTCATGTTAATAAATGTCTAATTGATAATATATTCAACATTTAAGACCCCCCACCCCCGAAAAAAAACACCCAAAAGACCTGCAATATGCAGATTTAGGGTATAAAAATGTGTTTTTAAAAAAACTACTGGGTGAGGGGGTAAACTCAGTTCTTTAGAAGACGCAACGATATGCCAGTAGAGAGAGCATGAGAACCAGGGCCACTGAAGATAACATATAAACTTGTAAACGATTGTATTAATTTATGTATTGAGAAACTTATTGAATTAAACGAAGAAAACTGTTATATATTGTCCACAAATGGTTTTATATGATTAATATAAATTGATTTTAATAGCTAATACACAAAATTACTATTGGTTGTTTATCACTGGTTTCGAGTCATTGTTTTGACAACGTGGAATAAATCAGTCATGACCAATCATCGTGTAGATGACAAATTCACAATAGTTATCTATTATTATAATACAATAAATAGAAATAAAGGACATTATGGCAGATTTATATCTAGACAATAGGCCTAGGTGACGACGGGCTGTTGTTAACAGAGGGTATTGTCTTTGTTTTATCGCCCAATTAGCCTACAAATCAGTGGCATTTAATTAGTAGGCCCAAGTATCTCTGATATGTAAGCCCCGAAGACATAGGTCTTTGACTTGTTAACGATAATAATAATTTTGAATTTCTGATATATCCAGTGCTATCAAGAAGTGCATCAATGAGACATGGGGTGTGGTATACAATGTTCTAGAAATTGTAAGCAAAGTACATGAATTACTAATAGGGAAGTACTCGACCAACGTATGGTGTTATTATATATTGAGAAGAGACGTGAACATTTGCTCCAAATACAAATGTTAGGGGGGGGGGGCTTTAGACCCTCCAATAATATTGGCTAATTAAAACACGATGGGATAGAGTTTTTCTAACATTCTATGACAGGGTCTAAAGCCCTGCAATGGAAGGTTTCATGCGTACCAAAGTGACACTCATCCAAGAACTTTTGATCCTCAACACATAGTTTTATTTTTATCTCATGAATCTGACAAAAAGTGTCCCCTCTGGGAGGTCCACAAACTTCATTTATATTTCACATTTTGCGTAAAAGGCATTTGGCATAACTCTAGAACGGAAGGTACGATGCGTACCAAACTTGAACTCACCCAACACTCGTTTTAAGTTTCATGGAAATCGGATAAAAATTGTTACAACCTTGGTATTAAATACTTTTACACTATTTTCGTAAAGGGGAGCGGCCATTTGACGGGAAGTTTCGGTCTGATTTTCAGGAAATTCGGACTTAACCATAATTATTGTGTAACGGTGATATATTTGAACGATTTTGAAAATAAGATAAAAATTTCCACCCCTAGAGGATCCACAAGTTAAAAACGTGATTTTTCGTACAATCACGGTCTATATTCCAGAAAGTTACTACCCGATAACCGCTAATCGGAAATAAATTGTGACCGCAAGATGGTCCAGAACAGGCGATCTTCGGTTGCACGGATTTGATTTCCGAACTCTAGTCGAACTATCTTCAAGCGAATGACATTTAGTTCAACCTCTGTTCGTGGCCAGTCGTACCATGCGATAGAGCACGGTCGGGATAGTTTTAAGGATGGCTGAAAAGGCTGATACTTTAGAGGGGTAAATTCTCTCTTCCGATATAACAGACTTCGAATGATTCTTCAATTCTTTAATATACCGGAACATAAATATGCATATATCGTCATACAGTACTGATAGGCCAGTTACTGCACTTAGTAAGGGATCCTAACTAGTCACTGCCTTCAATGCACATGTACAAATTTTGTAATATTTAAGGAAAATTTAGCTAAAAAGTAAATGTTGTAATTAAAACTGACATGTCGATAGATGAACAATGCATAAAGGATTAAACAATATAATAAATCAACAAAAACAATAGATGGGATTAACGTCGTTACCAATGACGGCTTGAAAAGTGGTGACAGGTTAACGACTTACTAGGAAGTTGACCTTAAAGACGTGGTTAATTTAAGAAGCATTAATTATATTAGCGATAGCAGATTATCACACCATTATAATACGTGTGTAGATTTGTCTGAAAAATATAAAATTGCCGCTTGCCAATGCGTTATTTACACCATGGACCGTATTTCAGGGTCCATGGTAACATCCGAAAGTTAGAGAATGAGGGTTAGGCTATAGATATTAACAATTTTGATTTTTATTCGAGGTTTCTTGATGAATTTGACAGATTAAGATCTTCTTATTCAAATATATATAGAGGCCCACGACAAAAAAACTTTGTAAGAAAATGTTTTAAAAGCATTACTTCATCCCCATCCAGAAGCAATTCTTGATTGGGGGGGGGGGGGGGGGCTACCATCCTAGGTCCATATGCGAGGGTCCAGGGGCCGCCTAGGCCCGGAAGCCCTTGGGGATGTAGATCGTCGGAGACGCTTTCTAAGCGATTTCTGGCTAATAAAATTACTCGGCAATGAAGTGAAATTTTATTTCATATCTATGGTGGTTTAATCCTGTGGTGCTGAACTTGACAAATATATGCATAATGCATGATGAAACTTACAATCTACGTTTAATACCGAAAGATCTCTGTTCCTTTCGATATTGGCGAATATATAGGACCGTCACTTCCTGGATTATGGCCCCTGATTTTACGAACCGTGGACCCAGTAGAAGTAACAGTTTTTATTTGATTGCAAAAAAACATTCAATTATAGCAGGTTAAATTTTTTTATCCGAAATTGACGAGACTTGAACTATAGGTCTATCTCCCAAAGATCTCGGTTTCTTTCGAAATTGGCATGTATTGGACCGTAACGTCATGGATTATGACCTCTGATTGTACGAAAAATGACATTTTTAGCTTATGGACACTCTAGAGGTCACAATTTTCATCCAATTTTGATGAAACTTGAAATGTATGTTTGGTTCCTTTCCATATTCGCGCATATCTGATTGTAACTTTCTGGATTATAGCCCCTGATTGTACGAAAAATCGAGTTTTTAGCTTGTGGTCCCTCTAGAGGTTACAATTTTCATCCAATTGAAAAGGCATTCGAATATATCACCGGTACACCATAATTACGGTTGAGTTCACATTTTCTGAAAATCAGACCGAGTTGGCCGACAAAATGGCCGCTCCCCTAAAAGCATATAATATTCAGTTTAGATCTGAATATTAAGGCCACCTGCAGATTTCGCCAATGTCACGAGATGTAAACGGGGCTAGCGCAAACCCTAACCAAAGATCTAGCCCTTACCCTAACTCACAATCCTCTGCAACAATCACTTGCCGTAACCCTGTTTACATGTCGTGACCTTGACGAAATCTGCTAGTAGCTTTAACATTAGGATCTGATCGTAATACCCAGGTTGTAGACCATCCAGCGGTTCGAATTTTTTATCCAATTTTGATGAAATTTAAAATATATATTTATACCCCAAAGATCTGGGTTTCTTCGATATTGGCTCCTATTGAACCGTAACTTTCTGGATTCTGATCCCCTGATTGTAGGAAATATCATGTTTTTAGCTTACGGGCCCTCTAGAGGTCATAATTTGTATCT